GGGATCGCTGGCCAGATCAGCTACCTGCATCCAAGTCTGTTTCTCAGAGTCTGCTTTCGGGGTTTTCGGGGGAACCCAATCTGAACATGTTCAATTTACTGTATTATACAAATGTATTCTTTATGTTCACTCACTTATTGAGAAACTACAATCTCTTAGACATTATGAAACTGAACTGGTAACTTGTATTATTAGTTATTTCTATGTGTTTATCTTACATATACTTTTGTATGTATATACATATGTATATGCAGGTATGTATATATATTCTACCTACCTACCCCTATAAAATCCACAGTTGATCTTATGTTCAATGACAGTAGGAACTGTGACTTGCATTTATGTATGGCTCCAGAGTCTAATACAGTCCAGTGCAAACAGTAGGTGCTCAGCAAGTGTTTCTTGATTGATTATTATTCCTTTCAGCGTTCACATACAGTGTACATTATTATACACAAAATCAACATACAACATTTATATTAGATAATTTATAAATTATTAAATTTAACAAATATTTGCATACCTCCTACATGCAAAAGCATGGTGGAGGCTCTAAAGTCAGAATGAAGAAGCTTAATATGATGTATTATAGGTTCAATAGAGTATATAATTAGTGAAAAAACTGAATTTACCAAAAAAATGAATTTACAGAAACTAATATTTACTATGCAGAGAAGGGAAGGATTAGGTAGACACGATTGGAAATAGTTTCCAGAAGTAGTTGAGTTGGGCCTTGAGAAGTTGGTAGGGTTGAAATAGATAGAGAAGGGAGAGGGTATTCCAGTGTTGGAGTGCAGGGTGAGAAATCGATTGTAGTAAAGCTAAAGAACCATGGGGAATGAAGCTAAAGGGACCCTAATGAACATGGGATATGTGAGTGTGGAAGAGATGACTTGACTGGAGGTTAGTTTCCTGTTGAGTAGCAATAGAAAATAAGCAATAGAATAATAATAATGGGAAAAGAAGAAATGGGTGAAGATGATCAAAAGGTACAAACTTCCAGTTATAAAATAAGCCCTGGGGATGTAATGTACAACATGGTGACTAAGGTTAACAATGCTGTGTTGTATATTTGAAAGTTGCTAAGGGAGTAGATCTTACAAGTTCTCATCACAAGAAAAAAATATATAACTGTGGTGGATGTTAATGAGACTTACTGTGGTGATCATTTTACAATATACACACATACCACATCACTATGTGGTACACTTGAAACTAATACAATGTTATATGTCAATTGTAGCTCAATTTTTAAAAAAGAAACAATAAAAAAGTGAAGTTATTGAAAGTTGGAAGGCAGTAGAGGTTTCTAGATAATGTGTATATAAATGGAAGTCAAGTTGAAGGGTCTTCAGTGGATCCTTTGATGAAGAATTAAGCTGTTGTTCAGGGTCATGCTCTCCAGAAACTGGAAGGATTGGCTGGGAGAGTATTTGCAAGCTATAACTCTGCCACCTTCCACTTTGCATTTAGCAGCTAGCCAAACTCTGTGGTATGGCTGACACCCCCATGTAATACCTCCAGACCATGTAGAGCCAGATGCAAGTGGGTCAGACTTCCTTAACTCAGTAAAGGCCTTAGCAGGTATATTAGTTTTCTAGAGTGACTGTAACCAAAAAGAAAAGAAAAGGAAAAACGAATTTAAAAAAAAAGAAGCAGCAATGGAGGGCCTTTAAAACCCTAGGAATTTAGACTTTGTCACTGAAACAAGAGGGAGTTTTGAAGGATTTGTGAATATTAACTATAAATAAAGTAGTGGTTGGACTTCGGAGGATTTGTTTGGCGTGTCGCACAGGAAGAGGGGTGGAGCAAGGAGGCGGCGGAGGCCCCCAGCACAGCTTACTCTCTAGACTCTTCAGGCCTCTTCCACCTTCTAGTTAAGTAAACATTTTCCTCTGTCATCTACACTGCATTTAAAATCATTATTTTTGAATCTTGTCATGCTTTCTTCTTTAGATCATACTGTTCTATTCATTAAAAAGATTACAGTTTAAGAATGCCTGGGTGGCTCAGTAGGGTAAGCATCTGCCTTCAGCTCAGGCCATGATCCCAGAGTCCTGGGATCGAGCCCCACATCAGGCTCCCTGCTCATCAAGGAGTCTGCTTCTTCCTCTTCCTCTGCCCCTCCCCCCAGCTTGTTTTCTCTCTCTCTCTCTGTCTCAAATAAATAAAATCTTAAAAAGAAAAAAAGATTACCAGTTTAAAAAACAAAGTCTAGGGACACCTGGGTGGCTCCATTGGTTAAGCATCTGCCTTTGGCTCGGGTCATGATCCCAGAGTCCTGGGATCGAGCCCCACATTAGGCTCCTTGCTCAGCGGAGCCTGCTTCTCCCTCTGCCTGCCGCTCCTCTGCTTGTGCTCTCTCCCTCTCTGACAAATAAATGAATTTTTTAAAACAAACAAACAGAAAGTCTAAGCAATTAGAAGACTGCGTTCTGTTCCTCCTGGACAATTGGGAAGGAGGGTGGCTAGACTTCAGTCTGGTTTGTCTCATTGAATTTTTTTTTTTTTTTTGAGAGGGAGATAGAGAAAGAGAGAGCCGAACCTGAGCAGCTGGGGTGTGGGTGGGGGGGGCAGAGGGAGAGAGAATCCTAAGCAGACTCCAAGCCCAGCCCAACACAGGGCTCGGATTGCACAACCCTGAGATCAGGACCTGAACCAAAATCAAGAGTCAGACACTTAACCTACTAAGCCACCCAGGCGCCCCGTCTCATTGAATTTTAAGATAACTTTTTCTTTTATAATTCTAAGCTTTTGTACTAAACATCAACATGATGGCTAGGGGCACCTGGTTGGCTCAGTCACTAGAGCATGCAACTCTCGACCTCGGGGTCATGAGTTGGAGCCCCTTGTTGGGCGTAGAGATTACTTAAAAAAATAATAATAAATAATAAAGTAAAATGATGGCTATACAGATGAGTTTATACATCCCAGTTTTGATTTAGATTGAGTGTTCTTATGAGTATTTCCATCAGAAAGCCATTGTCATTCTGAATTATTTTACTTGACATATTGCTAAATTTTAAGATGATTCTGTTGCTATAGAAAAATGCTTTTCCCCCATTTTTCTCAGATGTAAAATGGAAATCAATGGAGAAATCTTTGACTACGGTTCATTTTTAAGGAATGCTTTTATGTAAATATGGTGATGTACACATGTACTTGGGAATACTGTAAATCTAGCTTTCTACCAGGAATATATTACTATTTTTAACAGACCCTTTTACCAACTAGATATAACTTGGTCATATGCAAATTAGAGATATTTTGGAAGTTACTTTCATCTACTGATTTGCTGTTTCTTTTAATTATTATTTAGTAAACTATATTTGATTAAAAAAAAACAAAGGCATTACTTTTTCTTTATCCTTGTGCTTCAATTTGTCCTTTTCCTCAACAAGCATTTACTGAGCACATCCTAGGGACCGCGCTGTTAAGGGGCACAAACAAGACTCCTTCTAAGGTCTCTTCAGAGGCCTGTTCTCAGGTAGGGGCCAGACTGGTGAGAAATGATAATCCACAGGGCTCCAAACAGGGTGTGGGGAGGAAAGACAAAGAACAGGATAGGGCAAGGAAAGAAAAGGAAAGGATTGGGGCAGGAGAATGTGAAGCTTGAATTGAGTTTGAAAAGATGAGAAAGCTTGCAGCTGAGAGGGTTGGAAAGAACTGGACTTCCTGACAGAGGCAGTGAGGTCTGATGCTGTGGCCTCCCAGCAACCCTTTTGCCCGGGCTGGCCTCCAACGGTGGGTGAAAAGGGGAGGGAAGGTTTTTAGAGTCAAAGGAGGTCTGTTTTTCTTTAATAACTCAGAGCCTGACAGTGATGGTGACGGCCTGTAAACGTACTTTGCGAGGTAGGTTATGATATGCATTGTGATATGTCAGCCCTTGATAGCAGATTACACAGTTCCTGTATCCTCTTCTCTTCTGGAAGCTTCAAATGATTTCATCTTCCTTTTGCCCACTCTCACCTCATTATGCCTCTCATTTCCTCAACTCTGTCTCTTAAGAGAATTCTCTTTCCTTCCATATCCAACTTCAGGTAAAACTACTTGAGAGCAAGCCCTAGCACTGAGTGTTGATAGCAATTCGCATCTAAAAATTTGGACCAGGTTCATAATTTATAGATTCAATAGATCTTCCTATATCAGACCCACCTTAAATATCTGTTCCTTTCAGTTCTTCCATTTGTAATAAATATTGCTTGTCCATTACATTCCAGGTACTTTGTTATAGTCTATGTACCCTGTGGTGATAGTAATGAATGAAATGGACAAAGATTCCAACCTGATGGAACTTACATTTTGGTAATCATCACAGCGGCTCTGAGAGATTGCTCTCCCACATAGACAAACAGTTTATTAAAATTAGGCTGCTACCTAAGTAGGGTTTTCTTTCATGGGCTTTGCCTAGACACTGGGACAAGAAGACATTTTTTTATTATAGGGGGAATAGACTTTTTTTGTAGCTGGGGGTTCTATAGGGATAGACCAGTATGATGTGGCATATTTTCTCTAGTTTATCTTGTGAAAGATGAATGTTTGAAGGTACTAAAAATATAGTGGTTTCAGAGACAGATTAAGTGGGTGAAGAGAGAAATATTTAAAGACAAGTTATTTGAAGCTTTCCTTGTCTTGTGCTTCAGTGAGGAGAGAGAGAGAAATAGCCACCAAATGACTAATGCATCAGTAATAGCTGAGGTATACTTTATATAGGCAGAAGAGAAACATAGTAAGAAAGTAGAAACAACTAAATAGAGAATCCTGTTATGGCATTAAAAAATCTGATTTATTAAAACTGCAACGGATTTGGGGGTGCCTGACTGGCTCAGTCAGTGGAGCATGCAGCTCTTGATCTCAGGGTCACGAATTCGAGCCCCACGTGTGGTGTAGAGTTGACTTTAAAAAAATAAAAATAAAAAATAAATAAAATTGCAACAGACTTGGAATAGAATACTTTCAGCTGTATTTTTTGATCATAGTTTTTATTTGTCATTTTACAGATGCTGTGCCTAGGGGCACAGAAAAGAGCCCATCTCTGCAGACAAATGTGAGTTTGGACAAGAAATCAGACCATACCATTACAAATACTGTAACCGAATGCCCTTTGCAAATGCCTCTAGAAATGCAGTCAGCTGCAAGAACTTTTGAAATGTTGACAGCTTTACCATCATTTTGGTCACCGGATAAAGAAGAGTTTATCAGCCCTAATTTAAGGATGTCAAAGTCCGATTCTACTTTCTATAATCAAGCCTCTGTAGAGACACTCTATGTCTCTCCCTCATTTAAAACATTTAACCCAGTGAAGGAGATTGTAAGCAATAAGGACTTTCAGAAGCTAACACAATCCAGCATTGCTCAGATGGATGAGGAAAACCTCAAGCCTGTGACCACATGGGGTGAGTCTACACACACACACACACACACACACACCCTTCTTTTGAAGCATTCTTCTGTTACTTTTCTGTGCTTTCTGCCTCTGTTTTTGGTTCCCTACTTTCACTCTCCATCCAGTGGTATTAAAATGTCCACACCAGAGAGAAGGACTTCTCAGTTGGGAAAGCACCACTTTTATTAAAGACCTGAGAGGCAGTTCTCCGTTGGGAGCTCCAAGTGCTTGGTTGAAGCACAAGTTTTGAGCAATTCTAATGCCGAACAAATAAGAAAGAATTAGCATTAAATAAGAGCTTCCTGTTAGGCATTTAGGTTACTTATTTAGAGACTGTATAAGAAGAATTAGTTATTATGTATATTGCTGTGTATACACACAATATGTGTGTGTGTGTGTGTGCGCGCGCACGTGCAGCCTTTTTTATAGGGCTGTGTACCGATTGCAAAACAACAGTGGAGAATCTCTTCCTTTTTCTGTCCTATAAAACATTCAAAGGGTCGCAGTATTCTTGAGCCTGGATGGTAAAGGGAATCCAGGTTGTTGGCTGTCAGTTACCAAATCCTACATTGTATAATTATGCTTTCTTCTTTAAAGTCAATTAGTAAAAGAAGGATTTGTTTGTTCGTGCATTTTTCAAAGACTGAGTAGCTTTATTGATTCTTATGTATAATAATGCTGACAAACTCATATAAATATAAAGTTTTTAATAAAAATATTTTAAACTGCCTCAAACTCAGGTCAAAAGTGCCATATATGTACAAACAATGGAAGCCAACATGTCGAGGCTAAAGAAACTCACCTCCGTGAATGATAGCAGATTCTCCTTGCTGCCCTTCGCAGAACTTGGGGGGGACCGAATAGCCTAAAAATAAACAGAGTCTTAGTTTTGTCACCAAATTAACTCTTCTGCAGAGACTGCCAATGTGGAAGCCACTGAGTACTGGTCGCGGTGAGCGTGGTGGTTTCAGTGCATGGTTGTTCCCCTGGGAAGTTGTTACTTTGATTTCATTTCTTTCCCAAATACCCCCAAAAGATCATTGAAAATAGTTTTTGGCCGCTGCCTGTGTACCAAGTACACTTAGTTATAAAAATTAGCTGGAAGCTCCTCTAAAGCCAGTTAGCAAGGAAGACTTGCTTCTATTTATAATGAAGTAGATAGTATTGTTCTAACCCTCCCACCAAAAATACTGGTTAAAGCTGGAAAACTATTAAAAGCTGGTTTGAAGTCCTGTAAAACAACCAAGGTAGAAAACACAGAATGGGTCAAGATCCTTCGGAAAAGGACTGTGATGTTGTGATATAATGAGAAATATATATTTGGTCTTCATCCCTGGCTCCTGGCACAGAGCTCCTAAAACCCTTGGAATTTCCTGAGTGATAGGGGTGAGAAGAGTTACATTTTTGTTATTTGTAATAAGATCCTTCTTCCATATCTGAGTTTATGCTGAGGTAACCCTTGGAGGTTGGGGGCTGGTTGCCAGAGTAACCAATCAGGTGGTTAGAGGTTTGGAACTTTCAGCCCCACCCCTTGACCTCTAGGGTTGTTGAATTAATCACCCATGGCCAGTGATTTGATCAATCATGTCTCTGTAATGGAACCTCCATAAAAAACCTTAGACAGTGGGGTTTAGACAGCTTCCAGGTTGGTGCACACATGAAGTTTCTGGGAGGGTGGCATACCCAGAGAAGGCTTGGAAGCTCTGGGCCCCTTCCCCATACCTTGCCCTATGCATCCTTTCCATTTGGCTGTTCTGAGTTGTATTCTTTATAATAAACCAGTAATAGTAAGTAAAGCACTTTCCTAAGTTCCATGAGCCATTGTAGTGAATTATCAAACCCAAGGAAGGGATCATGGGATCCCTCAATTTATAGCCGGCAGGTCAGAAATACAGGAGGCCTAGACTTTTGATTGGCATCTAAAGTGGAGGGCAGTCCTAAAACTTGAGTCTTGAGATTAAGGGATTGAGCTTTTAATCTCTGGGGTCTGCACTAACTCTGGGTAGTGTCAGAATGGAGTTAAATTATAGGACACCTAGTTGGTGTCACATACAGAGAAAGAGAGAAATCCTTGTGTGTAAAACCCAAACATTTGGTGTCAGAAGTGATGTGAATAAAGTAGGAAACTAGTACTTTTAGTTGGTCCCACATTCACCTCAGTTTTCCCACCGTGGATCATTTGCCTGTTAGCAGAGCAGGATATAGAAACCGAGGGAAAGTCAGAGGCCTGGACTCCCCACGGTCTCGCTGAGCTTGCGAGATAGGTTTGGAGTTTAGGGCTTCCCAGGTGGCAGGGACTCCAGGAGTCAATATTCCAGAGGAGAGGAAGTCACAGAGGAGAAAGCTGAAAAGTCTTTGTGTGATTTCCTACTGAAACATCTGCCTCCTGCTAAAGCGGCACACATTCTGGATGTGGTGCCAAGAAACTACATGAGAAGCAGCTTCGAAGGGGCTAACACGCCAACCATGAGATTCGAATCATCTCATGGTGCTGGGAGACAGAGGTCAGAGTTCAGGATCTGCCATGTTGTAGTGGCTCTGGTAAGGACTCCATGCTCTCAGCCGGGGCCGCCGACAGGCCCCACCCGAAGCACCAGAACTACCGTCTAGGCGGAAGGGCAAACCAGAACGAGACTAGCCCTCACAAATGCTGCAACCCAGCTCCAGCTAGAGCAAAGTCATTGCTTTGTATCCCATCTGTCTTCTAGAAGACAACGAAATCCTTTCTTAAGAGCTCCTGTCATTTCTTGTGCAAAATTTTTGGCATTTAAAATCCAGGACAAAAACAGACAGCAGAAACAGACCCACAGATAAGCTAGATACTGATGCTGTAAGATAGGTACTTTAAAATAACTGTGATTAATATGATCAAGAGCACAGAGGGAAAGATGGAGAATTTCATCAGAATACTATCATCTGTAAAGAAAGAATGAAATGAGAGTTCCAGAGCTGAAAAATACACTAGCCAACATTAAGACCGGGAGGGCACACTTCAGTCATATGAGGTATCAAAAGAGAGCTTCAGCACTGGCAAAGGAGCTGGACAGTTCTGCGGGAAATCCCAAAAGGGAGGGAAACTCGGAAGGGGTGAGCCCCACCCCACATTCTGTCTATAAACTCTGCCTGAATCCTTGACTGACTGTTAAACTATTCATGGAGGGGAAGACCCCAGTGCATTTGGTGGGGAGGAAAAACTGAGCACTGGAAATGATAAATATGTGGGTAAATATAAACTTGATTTCTATTCTAATTTTTTAAATGCATATGACTGTTTAAGGCAAAATCTTCATACTGTATTTTGGGTTTTAAAACATGGAGATGGAGTATATATTCCATCATAGCACAGAGAGTGGTGAATTGCAGAGTTGTTAGCGGCTCAGGCTCTGGAGTCACACAGCCGGGGTTCATCATCTCAGCCCAGCCACTGGTTTTGTGACCCGTATGCATCAGTGTCTTCATCTACAGGGCATTTGGGAACAGCTGCTGGAGGGGTTCCATGAATTCACAAACACGAAACAGATCCGAGTAGGATCTGGTACCAGGCAGGTGCCATAGAAAAGTTTGCTGTTACTCCAGTGTCCATATTTTTAGTTCCACTTTTCGAGCTCTAGGCCCCCAGCCCCCTCCTAACCCTCCAGATCCACTCTGGTTATTTCCCAAAAGTACCCAGGAGTTCCTTTCTTATTCTCAGGAACGAGGAGACTCCTATGCTTCCAGAAAGGGCATTCCAGGCTGAGGAAAAATGCACAGTTATGACTGACCAAAGAGATTCTAGGAGCTCCGATTCATTCTCCACAGAACAGCCAGAGGACTTGAGGACTAAATTCCCCCACTGAAACCCCAGACTTCTCACTGTGTTCCTAGAGATCAAATAGCCTTCCATACCCTGCTCGGCCTAGCTTCTGCCTCTCCCAGCAGCCTGTGTTCTTTCTGTTTTGTCAAGTAAACCAAATTGCTTCGCCACCTTTGTACCGTTGTTCCCTCAGACCAGAACACTTCTGATCCACCCCTTCCTCAGTTCACTCCTACTCATCCTTCAGGGGTCAGCTCAGCACTTCTGCAAGATTTCCTGACCCCCTCTATTATTTCAAATCCCCCTCCCACTATATGTTGTCTTAGTACCTATAAGTATCCTTCTAGCACGTATGGTCTAATTTTAATTCTATTATATAATTCAGTATAATTATGTATGTATTGAATTGTTTAATGTCTCCCCACCCCCAAGTGGAATGCCCCTTCCTGAGGGAGGGGACCGTGTCTGCTTGTTTACTATTGTATTCCCCAGCACGAGGCACGGTGTCTTGGACATAATAGGTACCCAGTATTTAATAAGTGAATTAAAAGCAGCCTAGTAAAGCAGGGATGGAATGTGTGCATGAACAAATAATGGAAGAAAACACTGGAAAATTATGCCAGGACAGATGATGAGGAGCTGTGTGGGCCAGGTTAAGAAGCTTGGACTTTATTTGAAGAGAATGCAAGTCACTAAAGGTGTTAAACCGGGTAAGTGGCTTTTCAAATGTGTTTAGAAAAATTACTGTGTCAGGGAATGTGGAGGATTGTCATGGAGGGGGTGAAACTGGAGCAGGGAGCCCGGCAGGGGGGCTGTTGCCTGGAAGGAAACGGGGTGGGAGCTGGGAGACAAGAGCAGGGGAGAGGGAGGGGGGCTAGCCTGAGATGGGGCATGGCCGGGGGCAAGGAGGCTAGAATCCAGAATAGAAAACACCTCATCCTGAGGGCCTGTACGGAAGGAGGGGAAAGGATGTATCAGATGTGAGAGAAGGGTTTTGTGGTTTTTAATAATTAAGATGTGTCGAGCTTTCATGCACTACACATTATATGTCATGGCCTCCATATCTTATTGTCTGAGGTCACCTGCCCAGACCAAGGGGTTTGGAGTGGTAGAAGTCGGGGAAAGGACTGGTACAATTTAGAATAGCCACTCCAGAGAATGGAAGAAGGAGCGGATAAGACACTGATTTGACAAAGGAGCCAGGAGCCGTAATTTGT